ACGTGCTAAAGTAGCACATTTATTCATCAAGTGGCAAAAGTTATCCTACTGTGAATATAGAGTGCATGGGCATGCGAGTAAAACTGAAGTTATGTGTGAAGTCATTAATTTATGTGATAAGTATCAGCAAAAGGAAAAATCCTCATTATAGTATTTTCTAGTCCTTAAGGAAAAAATTTTATATAATGCGAAAATTCCGTCCCCCACAAAACCTGAACCCTAGTCTACCGCACCTGAAGCGTCACGCTTACCACTACACCAAGCCGTTCTTAAGAAACGAGTCACATCCATGTAATTTAAATTTTCTTATGTTAAGCTCCCTGAAACCACCCTAATAACTCTGTTCAGAGGAACGAATTTGGCAAATTTGGAAAGCAGGTTTGAATTAAGCATATAAAAACACGTCCAGTAGGATAGGTCTCATTTGAAATGGCCACTTCGACTTGGGATCCTTCCCTGGTCAGAACCATCGACTCCCAAAGGATGATCCCACGCATCCCTTCCCACGCATGTCAGAGTCGATATTACAGCCGAATTCTACTCCAGAGATAGGCTTGGTGTCGGTCGACGCAGTGTGGCAAGAAGACTAAATGCAACAAAATCGGCTGGGCAGCTCCTACCCAGCAGTCGTTGAGAGCCAAGCAAGGTTCTCTTCACAAATGCGAGCAAGTTTGATCTCCGTGAGTATATTGGTGCCAGAGAATGTCTTCTGGCAAAACCTATAATCGGAGATACACTAATCCTCTCTTGAGCACGATGAAGAAGTGTTGATGATATGCGGCTACTCTCCCTTACTAGAAACCACCCTACTCTTAGAATTGAAACTAGAGTGAATAATCAAAGCTACACAAAGCTACAAGAACGTATTTGTTGAAAACATATTTTTACCGATGGAAGGGAACATGCTAGGAAGATGGACTTTGCAGAAAGACAGTAATTCGAAAAACGCTTTCATACCTACGAAANCGCATTCATTAGAAATGAGATTTCTGGGCCCTCCGTGTCAATCTCTACAACTAGATCCGGCTAAATACATATGGAAAAAGCTGGGGAGACGGTGTGCCAAACAGCCAAGCAACCACAGAAATCAAAGAATCGCCCAGCTTGCGAAGGAACGCATCAGTAATCAGAAGTCGTCTTTTGTCGACCAGGCACTGATTGCAGCTAAGGTTTTGATTTCAGCTGTTCACTTCAGTTTTGCTTGTGAATACCTGGTTCTTTGGATTCCTGGTTCTTTCGAAAGCTATACGTTTGACCTCCAAGGTTCACCGCAGATTATCGAAATGGGAGTAATGTTTTGTTTGTAACATTGCTGAGTATGGTGTATAAAATTTCGAAGGAAACCGGTCAGGATAGGAAGAAGTAGGCAACTTTAGATCGTTGTGGTGAACGTCTTGACCGTTGCTATTTCTACTGAAACTTGCTGCTCCTCGAATAATCTGAAGAGTATTCACACGGCAACGCCTCATACCAAAGTTTCGTAACGGATGCTGGTGTACCTTGATCGTTTTCAGACCGCATTTCTCCTTTTGACAGCGCCATAACATTGCACGGCATAGCTTTTGGCGGGTATGCAAAAGATCTTTTCTGCCAAACAGCTCCAATAATGTATCCACCAAGATATCCTGATCTCTGAAAGTTATGTGTTCTCAAGACTGTCAAAATAAACTTCATTGCAGGCTTTTGGAAAGACGAGATTATACTGAAAGATGGATTTGTAAGGTTCTCAGACACTGCAATCAGATTAGTCCACGGATTCGAAGCTGTTACTCTTCATCATTCAAGTTTCCTACCAGAAAGGATGAGGAAGGAAGAGAATCAAGAAGACGATCAATGATGAAATATTGTAGAAGTTAGGGCAATTAGACCCTTTCGTAAGTATCGAGAAAGGGGACGGTAAACAGCTTGGGCAAAGTCAATGTTTTGTCAATGTCAAAGCTCAACTAACTTCAAGGGCTGCTATTTGTCGAAAGCTCAGTTCACACAAAAACACGGTTTTCCCAATTTTTTGGAGAAGCGAGTTGCACATATAACGAAACCTTTGCGAAATACTATTATACCAGCTGGCCTGATGTTCTGCCTGATAATGTGAGTGGAAGAAAAACTTTTTAAATACCTAGCTAAACAATGAAACGCTCTACAGATAGGTCATGGAATTTGTAAAAGACGGTCGGATCGCCGGAATAGCAGCACTCCTACTTATGCCAGGCTTGAATGTCTCACCAAGGCTTATCACTGGACGCTCTAGTTCTCAAAAAAAAATAGTTGAAAGTATCTCCACATCGAGTATTAGCAAACTACATAGGTCAAAATCGGTCACTGTTATGGATCGTTACATTTATAGCCACAATTCCACCATATCTTTACAATTTTCTTAGCGTTGCAATACTGTTCGACTAGAGGGAGCAAAATTACGATGGAGCGGTAAATTAGAGAACAGACTGATATACCGGTCAGTGAAGTATTCGTTTTCACTTTTTCAAACATCAAACTTCCTCAAATGTCCATCTTTTCGCCTGATTTTTTCATAGTTAATGCCTATCAACGAATGTGATGAGCGAGCAATTTCTCAGCAGTCTAAGTGAATTATGAAATATTTTAAAAGAATTCACTTCATTTTGTGTCCAAACACCATCATACCTGTAAAATCTTTAATCTGCCTGGATTTCCAATTTCTCAACGGAACAACTTGTATAATATCAATATAAGAACTACGACATTAATACTTTGTCGCATAACCTCTGGCGTCAATGACCGCTTGACATCGGCGTGGCATGGACTCGATGAGTTTGTCTATCTCTTCCTGTGGGATGTTCTCCCATGCTGTCTTCAGCTGAAGGAGCTTTTCGTGCTCATTTCGAGCTCTGAGCCCTTTTAATTTATGCTCAAGTCTTTCCCATAGATGTTCGATGGAATTCAGATCGGGAGACTGCGACGGCCACGTTAGCAGAGGGACGCTGTTGTCGCGGAACCATTTGGTGGACAGCTTCGATTTGTGTTTCGGTCGTTGTCCTGTTGGAAAATGAAGCCACTGCGAGCAGTACTGCGAACAAACGGCCAGATAACAGTCTACATGATATTAAGATACATCTTCGCATCCATCTTACCCTCAATCCGATGAAGGGGACCAACTCCTTTGCCACAGAAGTTACCGTGGACCATTACCAAACCTCCACCACCCTTCACAGTCGGCAGCTGGTGACTCGGATGGTATCTGGTACCGACAGGACGTCGCACAAACTTGAT